TCTTGGTGCAATTATGGCTTACTGTAGCCTTGACCTCCCAGCCTCAAGCGATTCCACCGCCTTGGCCTCTCAAGTAGCTAGGACTACAGGTGTGCGCCACCATGCCCAGCGGTTTTTTTTTATAAATGGGGTTTCACCATGATGGCCAAGCTGGTCTTGAACTCCTGACTTCAGGTGATCCACCCACCTCGGCCTCCCAAAGTGCTAGGATTACAGGCATGAGCCACCACTCCCAGCCACCCAGCCGTTTTAAAATTATTTTGTACAGACAAGGTCTCATTATGTTGCCCAGGCTGGTCTCAAACACCTGGCCTCAAGTGATCTTCCCAACCCGGCCTCCCAAAGTGATGGGATTGCAGGTGTGAGCCACCACCACAGTGGACACTACACTTTTTTTTGAGACAGGGTCTCACTCTGGATGCCCAGACTGGAGTGCAGCAACATGATCTCAGCTCACTGCAACTTGACCTCCTGGACTCAGGAGATTCTCCTGCAACAGTCTCCTAAGTAGCTGGGACTACAGGTGTGTGCCACCACTACCAGCTAATTTTTTGTATTTTTAGTAGAGACAAGGTTTTGCTATGTTGCCCAGGCTGGTCTTGAACTCCTGGACTCAAGCAATCCACCCGTCTTGGTTTCCCAGAGTGCTGGGATTACAGACGTGAGCCACCATGCCTGGCCTACTAGACGTTTTTTTAAGAAGGGAGGTAGCAGAATCCAATTTGAATTTTAAGTATTAAATCTGGCAGTCATATATGCTGGACTGACTGAAGGCAGAGACATCTGTTCCAATACAGAAATAGTGGCTACAAATATATGAAATATTGAGAAGCTAGAATTATAGCAACTGATAGCCACTAGAAGTTTAGCTCAAGTTAAATGAAAGGAAGGCAGACAGAGAAATAGTTTAAAAAATGAAACCGAAAAGCAAGAGAGAAGAATTTTGAGGGCCACGCTTATTAATGATTTCAATGTTATAATTTCATTTATTACAAATTGGTATTATCCATTATAACTAATGCGCTAGGGTCATATACACACTTTGAATGTACAAACTAAATGAACTGTGGAAAGTGGTGAGCTTCTTTTAAGTTCCAGACAATGGACTGCTTTAGGCCAATGGACAGTTCAAGGAGAGCAATATGTCAGTGCTGCTACCTCCTGTTCCCAAGCCTTCTGCAAATATCGTCAATCAATCACAGACTTCTAACTCCTGATGTGGCTTCAGCATCCTCCTCAAACCCGTGTTCCAGGGAGCCAATGAGCTGAAACCTATCTGCTCTCCTTGACCAAGTTAATATTGATTTTTTTTTTTTTTTTTTAAGATGGAGTCATCACCTAGGCTGGAGTGCAATGGTGTGATCTCAGCTCACTGCAACCCCTGCCTCCTGGGTTTAGGCAATTCTCTTGCTTCAGCCTCCTGAGTAGCTGAGACTACAGGCACCTGCCACCATGTCTGGCTAATTTTTTTTGTATTCTTAGTAAAGACAGGGTTTCGCCATGTTGGCCAGGATGGTCTCGAACTCCTGACCTCAAGGGATCCATCCACCTTGGCCTCCCAAAGTTCTGGGATTATGTCCCCGGCCTTGACCGAATTAATATTGAAAAGGAAATCACTTCAATCACAGGGAATGTTCTACATAAAACATGGCAGGTAGGCCAGGCGCGGTGGCTCACGCCTGTAATCCCAGCACTTTAGGAGGCTGAGGTGGGCGGATCATGGAGTCAAGAGATCGAGACCATCCTGGCCAACATGGTGAAACGCTCTCTCTACCAAAAAATACAAAAATTAGCTGGGCGTGGTGGCGCATGACTGTAGTCTCAGCTACTCGGGAGGCTGAGGCGGGAACCGGGAGGCGGGGATTGCAGTGAGCTGAGATTGCGCCATTGCACTCCAGCCTGGCGCCTGGCGATAGAGCAAGACTCTGTCTCAAAAAAAAAGAAAAAAAAAAAAAAATGGCAGGTGCCCTTTCTTTAAAAAGCAAATGACTTCCAATTCCTTGGAATTTCCCCTGTCCCTAGTGGTAGATAGTAGGTAGGTAGGTCCTTTTGTCCCTGTGAGACACTCACCCAAGCCTGCAAGCTGGGAGGAGAGGGAAGATGGGGGTGCTGTGTTCCCCACCATGGGGCTCACCACGGCTGGAGACCCTGGCCCCAGGTCTATTAAGTTGTCTTCCGTCACTTCATTCAGGACCTGTCAGAACGTGAGATTGGCCATGAGCCCCAGAGCCCTGGAGTCGGGCTCTGAAGTAGAAGCTATCGAGGCAACTGTGCAGGGTCCTGAGAGGAAAGGCATGAACGCTGCTCCAGCACTGAAGCAAGGCCACATTCCCCACCCACCTTCCGGGTCCATGATGGGCCTCGATGTCAGTGAGCCTTGCCCACTGCCTCCTCTCCCTCCCCACTAAAAGGAGGGGTTGCTGAGTGATTGTCCTGGGAGCTGCAGACTTAAGGCTCCCTTGCCACCCTTCCATCAGGGGTACCTGCTAGCTCTGCCCTAGTATCCCATCAACCAGAGCTTGCTCTTCAATTTCCCTAATATTTCAACCCCAGTTAGAAAAACTGGAGGTCTCTCCAGCCTCCAAAGTGTGGAGGGGCAGGTCTGGCCCCAGGAGATGGGAGAATTCTGAAGGAATACTTACTCCATTACTGGCATTTTGAACCGATCGGCCAGACCTGTATCGTTCGAACCTAATGGGGAAAGGGGAAGCAGAAGTAAGGAGAAAGGAAGCCTGTGATTTGGCCCTGTGGAGTGCTCACTAGTCCTATGAAGAGCCGCTGGAACCAAGACCAGCCAGTCCCACCTGGGGGCTAGGGAGTGAAACCATACATCAACTCTGCCAAGGCTTCCTCTGTGTGGGGCTCCCCCTGGGGGGATCAGCCTCTCACCTAGCACCCTCAGTTGTCATCAGAAAGGGGTGGTGGCCCATCTTGAGTGTCCCCAGCCTCTCCTCACACACCCTGGGCTCAGAGAGCTCCTCTTGACCCTGGAGGGAGGGTGGCTTAGCCACCTTACCTTGGAGCTCTCAAATATACAATGCCAGGCAGCAGCTGCAGATTCCTATTTCATAGGGCTGTGTTGAGGAGCAACTAGCTAGTGTTCCTATCATGCTCCCAACTCAACCTCTGGGGAAAGGGGGCAGGGCACGCACAGGGTGGGCACCAGGAGGAGGAAGGCAGGCGCAAGGCCCTGCTATGGTGGGGGGGCGGGGGATGCTTGCCAGTAGCTACTGTGGAGAGGCCTGGGCCAATCACTGAAGGGCTGCTAGGAAGGTGAAACGAGTCCCCTCTGCACCCAGTCAGGCAGTGCAGGGGGACTTGACTTTGAGCAACTGTTGAAACCAGGTCGTCCTTCTATCAGGTAGGGAACAGAAGAGTAGTTATGAGGTTTGTGTTGGGGTGGGGCAGAATAGATTATGTTCTGTATTGTATTTTAAAGCTCCAAATGCCACGGGCAGCGGTAACCAAGAGACTTTTTCCAGCTGGAGCCTTGGACACCCAGCTTTAGTGAGTTAAGCTGCTCCACATTTGTCTCCCAACTTGCTGGGGTCAGCGTCTGGTGACAAGGGATCCCCAGAAGGAATGATCTGGGTAGGCGGTGAGTGCCTACTTTGGTTTTAAGAAAGACTTGTGTGTATCTTCAAGGTTTTGTGTAAAGAAAAAAAAGAAAAAAAAAAGAGAAAAGGTAAGAAAGACTTGTGTGGTTTTTTCAACAGTGGTCTACAAGGAGAACAGCAATATTAATACATCTGAGACAATTTTAATCCTGGGGTACCTTTTCCACACTCATCTTCAATGAGCAATGAGTATCATCAAAGACACTCCAACCAGGACAGCACCTCCAGCCACCAGCCCCAGGCTTTGCCTCTGAATTCTTCGTAGTGCTGGGACTGGGGACTCTTGGGTGAAAATGCCCACACTAGTTAGCTCCTGTTATGCTTTCTAGCAGGGCTTAAACAGGTTTAACAGGTTAAACCCAAGCCCATTTACCACGAAGAACTGAAACCATGTGGCAAGACAAAGGGGCTAGGGCTGGGAGTCAAGTCCCCTCACATCTGTTCCTATTCTCCAACTGATGCACGGGGGGGTGGGGGCGGTCCTGGGGACCCCCACATACTTACTGCAGAGGCTTCTTCACCTGTCAGACAGGCACAGAGCCACTGGTGTGTACTTCCATAGTCAAAAGCTGAGACAAGTCCCAAGACCGTGACAACCACAACAAACCACCCTTTAGGCCCCCAAAGGGTAATGCAAATGCAAGCATCTGTCCCACTGACCCTAACTGATGCCAGATGCTTGTCCTCCTGATGAAGCCAGCAGTAGGCTGTGAGTCAGCTGGTGCAGCAGAGGGGACCACGATCTCGAGTCTTCAGGGGACTCAAGCCACTGTCCTGTCGTTTCAGGCCTCATCTCTAAGAGGAAAAGGTTGGTCCTCTCTGGTCCTGATGCTGAGTCCTTCATGAAAGGCCAGTGTGCTCCCATCAAGTGATGAGATGGGAACTGTGCTTACCATTATTCCTCCTATTTAAAACTAGGTCTAAGTAAGACATTTTGGACTTTGTCCTGAGGGAAGGCTTTGGAAATGGAAAAGAATTTGCAGGTTTATTACCTCAAACCTAAAAACGATGTGGCTGCAGAAAGAACTGAAATGAATGTGTGCGCGCTTCCCTAAGCAGCAGCTTTCCGGCACTTACACCCGCCTGCTTCCCCTGAATGCTCTAGATAACACTGACATTTGCAGAGGGAAAAGCTTTTTTTCTTTTCTTTCTTTTTTTTTTTTTAAGATAGGAAAGAGGAAATCCTTTTTCTTAGTAGAGATTTTTCTTCCCCTTTAATCCTTTTCAAATTCAAACGATCATCAAAGGAGCAGGTGCAGAAGCTCTGGGGCCCAGAGCCCCCCAAGTCCTACCCCTCCCTGGGGCTGGGGGTGGCGGGGCAGTGGGGAAAGGCAGAGCAGCCTGAGGCTTACAAAGGGCAGAGCCTAATTCTGCACGTCAACTTCCTGCTGCTTCTGCTGCACAGTTCCCAGGAGGACAAGACACATTTTCCCTGTCAGCCGGGAACAAATTAGCATCTCTGATGAGTATTTCCCAACGCTAATCTCTCTCTCTCTCCCTCTCTTTCCTTTGTTTATGAAAGAAATCCCTCTGTTATGGCAACAATCTTTTCAAGGGGGAAAAAAAAAAGAACTCAAGCTCCCACCTCTCATATCGAAGGAAAACGTTGTTGAGGTCGTCGTTCACATGAAGCAGCTCCTCCGTGACCTCCTCGTTGGACACACGGGAGATGAGCTCCACAATACGCTGCTGCATGGCCCGGCAGGTCCTGTTCAGCTCCTAGGGAACACATGCACCTCTGGGTAGCCTGCTGGGTGCGCTTTTTGTCACATTCTATTTCCTTTGAAAACATTCGTACTGATTCTTAAAAGTCACAAAAGGAGTACACGCTTGTTCATAAAACCAGACATGTGCCACATTCAAAGTAGAATTTCCATCTTCACCGCCTGCTCCTTCTTCCCAGAGGAAACAAGCACTTTTTCAGCCAACGCCCAGACAGACACACTGCTGTATGTATATAAGTTCATGCTTATACAAGTCATTTAAAAATATTAAAATGTGATTCTTTGCAGCTTGCTTTTTCTCAACAAAATATTCCAGACACTGTTCCCCATTACTTGGTGCAGACTGGCTCATTCCTTCGTGTGTGTTTCATGTGTCTTGCCATTCTTCTATTGTTGGGCATTTAGCTTGTGGTTTCTCTTTCTTTGGCCAACCCAAATAAGGCAGCAATGAATACCTGTACACACACATGCACATGCACTTGGGCAAAACTTCCATAGGATGAGTTCCTTAGAAAGGAAATTTCCAGGTGAAAGGGTAGGGTCGTTTATAACATTAATTGGTAGTAGTAAAAGGCCCTCGAAAAAGATGACATCAGTTTACTTACATTCTCAGCAACAGCAGGAGTGTATTTTATGCCTAGGTATATTTTATGATTAGGTATATTTTGGTGGCTCGTCTGCCACTTTGCCAAGGTCTCAGAAGCCCAGGCAGCTCCCTGGCTGGCCAAAAGAGGACATTCATACACCCCCAGTTGCCAGTGGAACCCTCTCTACCCTTAAAGCAAAATCCCCCTGATGACAGAGCCTTGGCACTTTACGGCCTGGCTTCCATGAGCCTTCCCTGTTCCAGAACAGCAGCAGCCTTACTGATGCTCTTGTTCAAACTTGCTTATAGAGCTCCCTCAATACCCGCCAGACCCCTTGTCATCTCGATGCCAGACTGAGGATGCGACAGAGGAGGGAGCTGGCAACCCTGTCAGGCTGGCCCCCAAGCATCCCTGACGACAGGAACTGCCTATGACCAAAGCTCCAAGTCCTAGTGTACCACACAGGGTTAAGGCAAAGGGAGATACTATCCCCAGATACCTGGGCACCGGAGGGTGCCAGTGAGTTAAGTGGATAAGACATGAAGGATAAGTCCCTCCTTCTCACACCTCAGCCTCAAAACAACTTCATTTTGAAACCGTTTCTGGTAGAAGTAACTGATTTATTCACAAGACACATGGCAATCTTTCTTTAGTTCCTCATTTTGTCTCATAATCTGGCTGGCTTGGCTAGAGGGTCGTCCTTCCTGCTACATCATAAACTCTTGAGGGGGGTGTTGCCATTTAACCATCCAAGGATGCCCTCAAGCCCTGCGCTGAGCCACACACAGTGAAAAAGCCCAGTAATCATCTGCCGAACACATCACCGAGGTGGTCAGTCAAGCCAAGTGGGGAATCAAAGGTATCCCTCCTGCAGGTCCCCGGTATCCTGCAACACAGCACTTACACAGGGGCTGGGCTTCTTGTCTACCTTCCCCTCTAGACTGAAGCTCTTTGAGGACAGAGAAGGCATTTCCCTGGTACATGGTTCATGACTGACACATGGGAGGCACTTCCCAAGTACTTTTGAGAGAATTAACTAATGACTCTAAAGTATTCTGAGGCTGAGTGCAGTGGCTCATGCCTAATCCCCACACTTTGGGAGGCCGAAGCAGGCAGATCTCTTAAAGTCAGGAGTTTGAGACCGGCCTGGCCAACATGGTGAAACCCCATCTCTACAAAAAAATACAAAAATTATCTGGGAACAGTAGCGTACACCTGTAATCCCAGCTACTCAGAAGGCTGAGGTGGGAGAATTGCTTGAACCTGGGAGGCGGAGGCTACAGTGAGCCAAGATCGCACCACTACACTCCAGCCTGGGCAACTGAGTGAGACCCTGTCTCCAAAAAATAAAAATAAAGTATTCTGAACTCTTGGTCCCCCCAAACCACCAGCTCAGTTATCCACATACGCTCAGTCTTCTCAGCAGTCTTCACTCAGAGAATGGGGAATTCTCGTTCATTCACGTTCTAATTTTCCCTCTCTAGGACTCATTCCAGGCCCCACTGAACCAGCAGTAAGCACTTAGAATCATACAGATAAGTGCTAGAATCAATAATAAGAGGAGAATACTGGATCTTAATTCCAGAGGACACTAATATCCAGTAAAGAGAAAACTCCACAAAATGCACACTATCTTCTGTTGTGAATGGCTCATGTCCCCAGGCCAGGCAGGAGAGGGACACTCACGAAGCTGCCTGGGCCTCAGAGCCTGCCAGATCTGGTCTGGATTGCCAGGCAATAATGGCCACAGGCGCCAATGGACACTCACAGGTCAAAACCCAGTCACCACCAGGACAATTACCATACACAGGAAAACCAACAATGCAGGGGAAACACCCATCACAAAATGAAGCATGCTTAGGAGTGATGCTGAAAACCAAGCCAGGCCCCTAACATTAAAACAAACAAAAACGAAATTAAAATGTCCAAACTTATGAAAGAAGCAATCACATTGGATCATGCAAAGGATTCCAACAGCCAGGACTGAAGTGAACAATGCAAAATAATCACAGTATTTCTAATAGATTGTTAAAACGCAGTAAGCATCTGTTCAGGGCTGACAGGGAGCACAGATTTAGGTTAACTTCAACAGACCATCCTCCCGTGCTTCCTAAAGGAAAAAAGGATACTTGGCCAACACTTGGGCAGCACATTTACCTCGCACATTGGAAGAAGCACCAGAGGGAGACCTGGCCAAAGACTGCATGATGGAAAACGGAGGCTGGGCAGTAGGACAGAGAAAAGAGGTCAAACTTCTGCCTCTCTACGCTGCCACAGACTGTTCCGGGCCACTGTGCATGTCTCCTCCCCAGGGACGCGCACGTGCCTGCACACATGCCTGCACACGAGGATGGAGCCAGGCGCTGCTGAGCTCCTCCTTGCTCCAGGACTCCAGGTGTCTGTGGAAAATCTCTGATGAGCAAAAGGATCTCGAGGCCCAGCTCAGGACCTATCTCCTCCAGCAAACAGGCCCAGTTCAAGAAAGTGTGGCCTCTGTCTGGGGCTTGCGGCCTCACAGCAAGCGCTGGCTGCCCTTGGTTGGGGAGGGAGAAGGAAAAGAGTTTGCACTTCCCATCCAAGCTGCAGGCCAATCACAAGGCACAGGACCTGCAAGCCAGGGGAGTGTGGGAGCATGCTGTGGAAACAGATCCAAGTTACCCTCCAGAAGACTGGGGCATCAGCACCTAAGGCCTATGGGCCGTCTTCAAACACACCTCAGACTTTCCAGGGTATAGGTGTCCTCAGGCACTTGCCACACTGCTCAAGGGCTCCTAAGAAGTTGACCCTCTGCCTGCAATGTCCCTTATTTCCTTTTCCATTGAACAAACTCCTACTTATCCTTCAAGGCCTCAAGGTGTTTCCCTACCCCAGTATTTTGTCATAAAAATTTTCAAACATACAGAAAACTTGGAAGAATTTTACAGTGGACAGACACCATATGCTTACCACCTAGATTGCACCATGAACATTTTACAGTGGCAGCTTTAACACATACTTCCCATTTATTCATCTTCCTGTCCACATACAGTGTTTTCTGGGGATCCCCCTCCACCCCACTCTCAATACTCCCACAGCATTTAACACATTCTAGCCTGTCATCAGAGCCCCTCTAAGAAACCCTCCAGCAAGGGGTGGCCAGCCCCCACCTGCACTCCACACAGCAGAAACCTTAAAACAAAGAGTAAGCCTCAAGGGTGGGTCACTGGATTCAGAGGAGAACCAAACCAGATTCCTCAGTAGACTGCAGGAAATGTCTCAGAAAGATGGCTACAAATACTCCAAGTACCGGAGGCCTGAAAGAAGAGAGCAGGGGTTGGTATCAGTCTCCCCAACAGAGCCCTAGTGTGGGGACCAAGCTGCAGGCAGCAAATAGCTGTGATTGGATATACTTTCCAAGTCTCCAGTCTTCTCCAGGACTGCTTCTCCCTGTGTAAAATAAGGGGGTTGCATTTGTGAGAAAGTACTTCTGCAGAGGGCCACTGACGTGCTGCAGTGGCCTCTATGGCACGGGGCTGAGGCAGCTGGGGCTGCTCTGCTTTTCTCAATTTTAAACACTGCCATTCACTGTAGAATTTTATTTGTGGAGGAAAACGTTCCATTATTGATTGATTGATTGAGATGGAACCTTGCTTTGTCGCCTAGGCTGGAGTGCATTGGTGTGATCTCAGCTCACTGCAATCTCCACCTCCCAGGTTCAAGCGATTCTCCTGCCTCAGCCTCCAAAGTAGTTGGGATTACAGGCGCCCACCATCATGCCTAGCTAATTTTTGTATTTTTAGTAGAGACGGGGTTTTGCCATGTTGGCCAGGCCAGTCTCGAACTCCTGACCTCAAGTGATCCACCTGCCTTGGCCTCCCAAAGTGCTGGGATTACAGGTGTAAGTCACTGTGCTTGGCCTCCATTACTTTAAAAAAAATTTTGGAAGATGTTAGATGATTTCTGAGGCTCTAACATTGTGACCTTGGCTTGAAGGAAGAATGAGCCCCAAGGGGTTCATCAACAGTGATCTCATCAACAGTCAGCACCAGGAACATCTGCTCTGGCCTTGTGTTTGCTGCCTCTTTCCCCACAGCCTACCCACTGGGGTGGTGGGTTAGATAGCTCCCAACCCAACAGCAGGGCCTCCATGCTCTAATCGTCAAGGAACATCCTGATGACTTTCCAAAGAGCTCCGCTGAAGACAGCCTCAGAGACTATGGCCTGGGGCCTCCACAATGGAGATTTCCAGGTGTCTCTGCACAGAAAAAACTTTACCATCTCTTGGCTTCAGTCTTTTACATCTGTCTCAAAAAGGAAGGAAACACTGTGTGCACTGTAATCTCAGTACTTTGGGAGGCTGAGGCAGATGGATCACCTGAGGTCAGGAGTTCAAGACCAGCCTGGCCAACATGGTGAAACCTGCCTCTACAAAAATACAAAAATTAGCCAGACATGATGGCAGGTGCCTATAATCCCGGTTACTCGGGAGGCTGAGGCAGGAGAATCACTTGAACCTGGGAGGCGGAGGTTGCAGTGAACTGAGATCATGGCATTGTGCTCCAGCCTGGGTGACAAAGCGAGACTCCTTCTCAAAAAAAGAAAAAAAAAAAAAAAAAAAAAAAAAGAAAAAGAGATAGAAGGTGAGAGGAGGGCCAGATGTTAAGATTTTTGCTGCCACAGTGCCAGCTGGCTCCCTGCATGGCCTCTGTGGTGTCATCACAGCCAGACCCTCAGCAGGCTCATTTGGGAGATGTTCTCCTGCTTCCTCCACCTCCAAATCACTCAGAGTGATTCTCATTGGGCCGAAGACACCCGAGAGCCTACTGCTTGCTCACGTCACCCTTTCCATGTGTAACAGCTAGGACAGGAGATTCCTAAATGTTGACGACGTCAGCTTTGCCCTTCTCCTATTTCTGGTCCTCAAAAGAGGGAAGAACAGCCGGTCACTTGCACAAAAGCCCTCCATCTATCAGAACACCTTAGTAAATATCCTCTCTTTTCTCCCTAATTAATCTCCATGCCTTTATCTTTTCTTCAAGGGACATTCTCATCCCTACCTCACACAACAGTCTTTTAATCATCTTTATGGGTTTCCTCTGAGCCCTCCACAAGTTTGAAGGAACATGGAATAAGGTCCTGAAGATCTGTTTTCTGTTGCTGCAAAGATGGGAGAGAGAAGAAAGTCTTTGTTGATGAGAAAGGGGAATAATGAAGCTAAACACGTATAATAGACTAGATTTCTCTAGAGAAAATGGCCTTGGCCATTCTGTTTTTGTTGAAATGAGATGCAAGAAGCAAGAGGAGATATGCCATCTGCTACTTGGAGAAACGAGGAGGAGGCCTCTGTTATTATCTGATGCTGATGAATGGCCACAGAAGAATATATATTTTTGGCATCATTGTATTAATTAAAAGTTATTCATTGAAGACAAGGCTCAAAAGGCTAAACTGGGAGAGACGGAGGGCACTGGTTGACAGAATCACAATCTTTAAAGATCCCACGCTTTAGCAGGGACAGATGCAGCATTTGAATTTCCGCCCAGGCCTAAGGGTCCTTGCATAGGATGATGAAGATAGGCTTAACTACCACACTAGAAGGTGACATGGCAGGGTATTCAGCTGATGAAAGCTCTCCATCTTACAATGTCTGCCTCCTGTGAAGAACTGCCTGTCCCTCTCCATGGTGGGCTGCCACCTGCCACATTTGTTCCATGTGGAGACTGGGCAGTGGGTGGGGCTTATGGCAATCTTCAAATGCTTAAGGATCTATCCATGTGAAAGAAGAATTAGCCTTGTTCTATTGTCTAAGAAGACAGACCAGGATCAAAGTTACAGGGAGCCAGACTTTAGATCAATGTGTGAAAGGGCTTTCTAACAATAGTCATAAAAGCTAGGATTTGTGAGGCCTTCCCTAAGCCCAGCCCTGTGCCAGGCACTGCCCAGATGCAAGTGATTACTCCAATCTAGAGAGGAGAAGGGGGCCTGGAGAGGGCTGGTGACTTGCCTGGCATCACCCAGCTATCAGTGGGAGGACAAGGATGGGAAGGCATTAATTCACAGGTCTGTGTAATTTGTAAGCCTGCTGTGCTGCTGCCTGAAGTCTAACCAAGACGTCCATTTGAAAGCAAGTGGGCTGCTGTGAATAGTCTGTCACTGGGGACATGCAGAAAGACCCAGGAGACAAGATGCTGTGGAAGATATCTGAACACAGGTATAGAGCCGAACCAGCTTCCTGGAATCTCTCTCCCAACTCAGAGAGTGGAGGTTTTGACACATAGCTCAAGAGGAGGAGTAGCTGTGTTCACTCTGGGCACCCTGCCTTCCTTCTCCTCAGGGGCTCCAGCTACGCTGACAGCACAGGGTGCTAGAGTGGCCTCAGCCTCTCCTCAAATACCAGCCACATACCATGAGCCCGCAGGCATATAGCTCACACTGCCAAGTTTCCCTGCTGCTCTTGCTGCACGGTGGGAAGCTATACCCAAGAGTGCTTTGCAATGCGCAGGAGGCAACTGGGACATAACCTTCCCACAGTTATGATCATCCTGGGGCTGACACCACCAATTACCTCTCTTCCTATTCCCTCCACTTCCTACCCCAGCAATTTATACTTGAACTGGGAGCAGCTTCTATTGGTGGGAACATCTGGGTTGTTCGTTTCCATGGCCCAGCCAGCACTCTCAGCTCTGCACTTCTCTGCCCCAAGCACTCTGGCTGCTCTCCAGCTTGATGGAGGGTCCTGGGGACACATTCTGATCCCAGCACTTTCCAAGCAGACGATGGTATTTCTCCACATGGAAGGCTGGTGGTTCAGTGTGGCTCTGACCCTTGGGAGACCCTGCCTGCTGGCTTCTGACTGCCAGGGGAAGAAGGGGAGGGAAGATGTCAGGGATGGCAGAGGTGTGCAGCCAACCGGCCAGGAGGGCTGTGTCTATTCACAGTTGTTCACAGTGCTGCCCAGCTCCTGAATCTCCTATGCTAGAAGGACAGCCTCCCACTGGCACCCAGAGTCATTCTTTTTCTGTTTGATTTATAAGATAGCAGTGAGGGCTGGGAGGTTTGGAGTTGGAACAAAACAGAGGGAAAGAAAACGTCATGGGAAGCAACCTATTTTTGAAAACTGTGAGCTGACGCCAGGAGATTAGGTTCTGTTTGTCTTGGCTGATGGGCTTGTTTTAAAAAAAAAAAAAAGAAAAAAAAAAAACCCAAACCCCCTTCTCCCCACAACACAAGAAGTATTCCTGCTGTCTGGGTCTGCTCTAGCTGTCTGGAAGCATCTTGGCTTTGTTTAACACACCCCCCTGCTGCCAGGAGCGGGGCTCTATCCAGAGCAAATCCCCTGTGTCAGCAGGAATTCCGACGCTGACACAGCACAAAGCTGCCTCAAGAGGCCCTCTCAGTTTCTGGACTGACCTCGGAATCCTGTACATCTGGGTAACGCCTGGCAGAACCTTCCTGCAGGCTGGGAATGGAGGCCAATGACAATGCATTCAAGGGAAGCCAGGTCCCCTGGAGTGTGGCACATATTCAGCTGAACCTGCTGAGCTCAGGCAAGCCTGGTCTGATGCAGGTGTGTCAGGAGTGAGGTCTGGGAACTAGGGAGAGGCCAGTCAGGGCTCCTCACTGGGGCTGGGCCAAGGGTACTTGTCCGGCTTCAAGAGCAGGCTGGTGTAGTTATATAGAGACAAGTTATTTCCCAGTCTGTTTCCTGCAAAAAGCCACAAGCTCCTCCAGAGCAGGGACCACAGCTCATGCACCTCTGTGCCCAAAGCACTGTGCACTGTATTAGGCCTGGAACAGCTCTTCCCCCACCCTCACCTCCATAAGAGCTAATGGCTTTGGAGTAGGAAGGGGGCACAATAAGCAGCAGCTTGGGGCCAGGACAGGGCCTTCGCAGGCGGGAAGCATGTGCCAGCAGCAGGGTACAAGGTGCAGCACTTGGGGACCAAGACCGACAACTGAGGGCCGGAAAATGACAGTGTCAGCAACAGCAGCAGGTGCATCATGAGACACTCGTGCCAGGTCGCCAAGTCAGTCTGGCTCCTGACCTGCTCCCTCAAGCATCTTGCCTCCCGTTGAAAAGTGTAGGGGCCCTTGCAGTTCACAGCATCCTTTTTCCACCCTCCGGAAGGTCACTACTTCTCAGGGCAGTACCACTGACATTTTCTGCAAATTCGAGGATCATCTGAGGCTGGGTGTGGTGGAGATCTGAGCACTGGCTCTGGACATGGCTGCCCTGGAAAACAGGCCTGCGATGGAGGCCTTGACCTTGGTCTCAGGGGTAGACTGCAGGCTGCCCGCTCCTGGACCCCTTTCTGCCATGCCCCCAGATCCGTGGGGTGTCCAGAGGTGGGGAGGCCAGTTTGCAATGGCAAACCACAATATCAGAAACACCCAGCCTGGGAATCCCCCATGTTAGGGAAAGAAGAGGAGCATCACACTTCATCTGTCTCAGGACACCTTGGGGTGAGGTGCCACTAGAAGGGCACCTATGCACAGTCAAGGTTGAATAGGCCCTCCTGCAGACGTGATGCTGAGGGACCAAAATACAAAACAGTACAAGCCCAGCTACATTTAAAATAAACATACAAAAAGTCAGAAGGAAAATACATCAAAACACCTACAGTGGTTATTTATGGATGCTTGGGTCAAAGAAAGTTATTATGTTCTTCACTGTACTTTCTTTTTCTTTCTGTGGGCATGTCTTCTACAACTGGCACTTTATAATCAGGAAAAAAATGTTATTAAGGAAAATAAAAAAGAGAGACAGTGGCCCTGGCCTCTGCCTGTCCACGACAATGTCAGTCTGAGTGTGCGCTCACATGGACTATCAACAACAGGGCCAATGGACCCGTCCCACCTCGCCACTGTGTCCCTGGGTGGGATCCTGCGACAGCGTACAGTGGTGGAGCTGCCACAACAGGCCCCTGCTCCACGCTCAGGCCAAGTGTTTCTGCAAGATGACTCACCTGCAGCAGCTCCAGATCAGATGAATCCTCCTGTCCAGGGACCATTTCTGTTAACATCTCAGACATGACTTTTGTGTTTCCGCGAACGACGTCCAGTTCACTCCGCAGCCTGGCAATCTGGTGAGGGCCACGAGGAAGGAAAGGTCACTCAGAGTCAGCCTGCACCTGCAATATCAGAATCAGCTTGTCCCTAGGCTAGCGACAATCCCTCTCACTGGGAGATCTGGGTCACCCTTCTGAGTGCACGCTGCAGAGGCCACCTTCTCATCTCCCTCCAGCCTGCCTGTCAGCTCTGAGCGGAATGGGTCCTGCCACCCAACAATCTGTTGTGGTGCCTCTCTGACTGCGACACGAAAGCAGTACCATGTAGCGAACAGCTCCGTGTCAGAGTGCACCAAGCTGGCTCTCTGTCTCCGCTCTCCCACCACGGGAACTTGAGTAGAAGCTGAACCTCTCAGGGCCTCCATTCCTGCTCTTTAAAATCCAAGTTCAGGAGGGCAGGAGTCGTGAGATCCCTTCGGAGTTGAGATCCTATTCTACGAAGCTCTGAGTTACAGACTCTGCCCCAAGGAGTTTTACATCTAAACACTACAGTCCTCTGAGAGGTTGGGCAGTGTCAGCAGCACCTTTCTGCAGTGGCAAGAATGAGAGAAGAACAGAAGACCACAGGGGAGACACCTTCCACACCCACCTCCCTACTTGGTACCACAGCCCCTTAAAAAATACCCACGCTGCCCATCCATCAGTGCTCCCAAAGCCTGGACTCGGGCCAAGGCCTGAGGCTCCTCTCCAGCAACAGACATCGTATACTTTCTCCCCTTGCCCCTTCACTCCCTCAAGCCCCTTGAAGCATCTGCAGAGACCACAGGGTCCTTCCTTGCCCACAGTGAGGTATCATAGAAGAATCTGCATAGAAGCGCCTATTGGTCCCATCGCTCAGTGACAAGAGACTAATTCACGCTGGACAGAAGTCAAGAACTGCACAGGACACTGGAGGGAGCCCTGGGAGACTCAGCAGCAACGTCCAGAGCCAGACCTGAGCCTCTCTGAGCCTTAGCTTCCTCACCTACAGAAAGGTGGCACTAACACCACACCTCGCCAGGCTGCTGTGAGGTTCCCATGCGGCGCCCGGCATGCAGGTACGCTCTCTACACACATACGGCCCTTGTTCCTGCTCAAATGTCCACCGAGAGGAACTGTAATGTTGTTCTTCCTGCACTGTGACCCAGCCCAAGTGACAGCTCCTCTCCTCAGTGAAGCCTTTTCTGACTCTTCCCGCCCCATCCTGAGGTAGAAGCAACCGCTCCCACCTCCTCCTCCAGGGTCCCACTCACTGTGCTGCCTTCCACTATTGCAGCTGTAGCAGCCTCTGCTGTAGGGGTGGGCTCTCTTAGCAGACCCTTAGCTCCTTAAGGCAGGAACTCAGCTGGGTTGAGCTTTATACCCTCAGCACAGAGACAGGGACAGGAGACCTCAATCAGTGGTCAATTAGAGAGACGGTCTGTGTCCCGAGAGGCTCTTGACAGCCTCTGGCTCTGCCTGGTGGATGATCCAGGGGTTTTCTTCAAAGTCTTGGTAAAAGAGGTTTCTGGCTAGGAAGGCCCAGGAAGGTTATGGGTAGCCACCTTGTGGGCTCTGAAGCCCTGGGTCCTCTTGGCTGGGCTGGGTGATGAGCTGCCTATCTCTGCTTGCATTCTGCTCCCCCAGGGGCAACAGGCCTCAGGGCTCCTGCGCTACCTGCGTCCAGAACCTCCAGACCCAGCATATTCTGGCTACTAGGAGGGCCTTCCCCAGCACCTCCCATACTGTGAGTCAGTGAAGGGGCTCAGGAACTGTCCAACTTCAAACATTTTCTGCCTTCCCTCAGAGCAGAAAGGGCAAAGTTCTGCCCATAGGAGCAGGGCTAACAGCCAGAGACCTTCCTCCCCACAGCACTTGGATGGCTACCATAAGGACCTCTTCCGTCTGCCTGTCAAGCCCCTAGCTGCCTGGTGAGGTAACAGATCACCCGTTCTACTGATGGGAGGCTGAGTTAAATGTCCTGACGGAAGCCTACGTTGAGCGGCAGAGCGGGGGCTCACATCAGGCTCTGCGGGCTTCAAGTTCACTCCTACTTTCACCATACTCCCTGCTCAGAGCCAGCAGGGGAGCGAGAGGAACGCGACACAGCACTGCCGTCCCTGCACACACAGTGCTTGACCCGTCAGCCTCAATGTGGTTCCATGGTCATGACATTGTCGCAAATAGTAAATGAGGATTATTAAATAACATTGGAGAGTTGTTTTTCTTTCCCAAGTCTGACCAATTCTCAAATTGTAACTAATTGAAATTCTATGGATTCTTCTAAAGAGCACTCCCCAATTCATCTAAGAAATCCAGCGTGGGGTTAAAACTGCATTAGCTTATCAGGAAGTAACCCAAGAAGATAGGAGCGTTTGGGATAAAAGCAGGCTTCTTGTGCTTCAGGAGGGCCTCCCTGATCAGGTCACAGGCCTCTGATGGCTGACATTTTTTACAGGACAGATCTAAGCCTCTGTGTGACAGACAAGCCCGTCACAGCTCTGCTGCACTTCTATGGTTTTGACCTCACTTTCTGCCACGGTTTCCTCCCAGATCTGGGCCCTACGTATGTGCTTGCTCTCCAATCAAGCCACCTGCTGCTCCGAGAGAGCCCTGCGCCTCTGCACCTCTGCCTTGCAATGTCACTGCTGAGCATGTGGTCTCACCTGACAAAGCCCCACTCCTGTGTCAGGACCCTCTGCGTGTCAGGTCCCCGGTGCCTCCCAGGCACCACTCAACCCTAGGCTCAAAACTCGGAGCCCCCTTGGTTCTGCTCCCCACCAACAAGATTCAGGCCTGAACACACTCCATCATGATGGCCTCAGCATCTGTCTCCCCTGGGGACTAAGCCCTTCTATCTCTGTGTCCCCGACACCCAGCACAATGCCTGGCTTGGGGGGCCTCTGTAAGTGTCTCTTGGAAAGATGAATAAGAATAGTCAGCTGGCTTGCCTATGGCCCCAAAGTATGCAAGTACCTGTTCTGAATTGGCTGTGATGGGGCCAGTCACACTCAGAGCGGGGGCCTGTGGTGCGGAGTAGGGAGCAGGAGGTGGCGAGGAATAGGAACCAGCACTTGTCTTCTGCTGTGACTGGGACCTGGGCATGGTCGCGGCTGGATCCACTTCTGGGACGCTCTGGCACGACAACAACAAAGTCCTCTGTTTTGGGCTGCCTGCACAGCTGGGCCTGGTACCTACCCCACCCCATGCGGCACTTCTCCAGAGCTGCCTGCGGAAGGCTCAAGGCTCTCTGCTCCACTGCTGCCTGGGTGAGGCTCATGGAGCCCCGCTGAGCCCAGGCTCTCCATCTGGGAAGTAGGGCTGCCACTGGCTCCTCCCTCTACTTACCTCTCAAGGAGTGTGTAGCAGACAATGAAAGCAACTCCAGCCAGGCGTGGTGGCTCATGCCTGTAATCCCAGCACTTTGAGAGGCTGAGGTGGGTGGATCACAAGGTCAGGAGTTTAAGACCAGCCTGACAAAAATGGTGAAACTCTGTCTCTACTAAAAATACAAAAATTAGCATAGTGGCACATGCCTGTAATCCCAGCTACTTGGGAGGCTGAGGCAGGACAATCACTTGAACCCAGGAAGCAGAAGTTGCAGTGAGCCGAGATCAGGCCTCTGCACTCCAGCCTGGGCAACAGAGCGAGACTCTGTCTCAAAAAAAAAAAAAAAGAAAGCAATTCCAAAAGGCAGCACCAAGAGTGCTCTGTGAGCCCTCTGGTAATGGTTCCTATCATTAAGACCACCTCAGGATGGAGTGAAGGGAGGGCGGTTATTCAGTGTTGCTAATCACAAATCTTTACTTGGTACCATAAGAACTACTTTTTCGGCCTTTACAAGGAGACTAATATAAATAGTAATTATGCAATTTACCAAATGTTTTCGTAATTATAGGAACAACACTGCTCTCTGTCATTATTAGAAGAGTGAAACAGGTTATGTTGATTTCACAAAGCACAGTGCATGGTCTGGAGGGATCATGATGAGAACAGGCTCTGGAAAGGGCAGTCCCTCATGCTTGCCCCTTGGGCATCTCAGATGACCTCTTGCATATTAAGTCGTGTTCCTACAAGAGACGTGCATAGGTGTGCTATTCTTCTCAGAGATGGGCAATGGAGTCAGGCAAGGTGACATGTACTGGGATGAAGTGCCTCTCCCAGACCCTGGTGCTTTTCTGGCTCTTCCCCAGGCTAGCAGCGAAGCTGATTCCCAGCCAGTAGAGGGACTGGCTTCCATGCGAAGCCATGAGTGGCATGGCCTACATGCTTTTAACCCTGATGTGCTGAGCTGGCCCCTCCATGGTGCTCAAAGCTGTTGGCACTGACTGCAAAAGCTTTGGTGGGATGCCCCTAAAGGGACCTTCCCAGGGCTTTGATCCTAAGGCTGGTGGAATGCAAGGATGTCTGGATTGATGCTGAATGCTCATAGCTCAAAATAAATTTTAGATCCATTTGACTTGGTACAATTGAAAAAAATAAAAAGCTCCTTTTTGCCCCAAGAGTGACGTCAAGCTCTCTGTATGCTCTGAGGTGCTATGGTGCTCTGAGGGACAACAGGATTCCCACGCCAGATTTTAGGGGCCTCTGAAAAGCAGGTGCTAATGACCCTCACAGGATGGCCCCGCCCAAGTAGCCATTTCCATGAAAACTCTGAACTGATCCCTCTATTATATCCTTCCACAGACACTGCTGCCACTTAATCACCAGTCAACCAGCTGTCTCACTCCTGCATGCCCCTTGTTATTAAAAAGGAATGCCCCCGAGCTTTAAGAAGGCATGATGACAGGCTGAATAATTCAAAGGCAGCAGCAGAAGGGTGGCTGCAGCAGCTTGGCTCACCCGTTCTGCAGTAGGTCTTTCTAGAAAGCACCAGCTGGAAGCTTACCCGCTGTGGTGTGTGTATGGGAGACAGAGCATCCAAGTCTGCCATGGGAAATTCAACCCCTTTCCTCTTCAGCTCCTCGTATATGTGCACAACACCGGTGAGGTCAGGACTACTTCGAAAGGCATCAGCCCATGCCTGGGAGAATAGAAGGCATGTTAGGAAGCATTTCTCAAGAGCTGCTGCCATGGTACCTGAAAATCCAAAGTGGCCCACGTCCTCTCCCTGAGACCAATGCCCTCCTACTTGCAAATGCAAATTGCACTGGCTCAACCTATTCTGTTCCTCTTCTCCTGCAACTGCTGCCATGACACAGCTGGTGAAACCCTGGCTTTCAGTGGTGCTGCTGAGCGTGAACAAAAACACAAAACTTAATTTAGCATGTATTTCCTTGGAGAAGAGACCGGGAAATAACACCTATGCACTGTGGTGCATCCTAAAAAGCAGGCATTTCCCTAATGGCAAGGAAATCAATTGCTGGGGCTGTTTAGCTGCAGGGAGTGGAAAGTGCAGCCTTGTCCCCTCAGTAGGATGCCTGCCCTCTGTGCAGGAACACCTCTGCCCTGAGAGCTTCTACTGGTGGAGTTGGGAACTGGGGACAAATTGAGCAGAAAGGAAAGGAGAAATTGATGTGTGACATGAAATAAAGGCTAACTACAGGTTTCCTCAGATCAGAGACAACAAATGCCGAGCTTGCCTAGCCTAGCTCTGTCTCGTGCTGCTGCCGGTAGGGGAGATGACGGTGGCTCAAGGGAAGAAGAGCCCGCTGGGAGCCAGACCCAGGCCAGACTGGGGAGCTCACCCCAGGGGGTTCCACTTCCAGACCCAAGCTTCTTCCATGAAGTCTGCGGCCGAAAATGTCGGCACATGTGTGCCCAATCGAAAAATCCAATGAAAATCACAATCACTAGATTCCCTTCAGTGAAAACACACCACAGAAAGGAAAGAACAAAAATTCAAGTAGATTATCATTTCTGTTGACTCGTGAAAAGTTAAACATTTTTTAAAAAATCTGTTCTTTGGAAGTCTCAGGCTGTAACAAAAAAAGAATATCCAAAGGGCTCCCTAGAAATGGCCCTTTCCATGCTGTCCATTCACCATACGTACCCAGAGGAGGAGGCAGAGCCTCCTGTGTCCATGACTCTGTTGCCAAGTCTGTCATTGTCGCAGCATTTAACTGCCTCCTCACTCCAGCAATGAGTTACAACCAATCCCGAGGCAGCCACAGAAACTCTATCTCTAACCAACAGACCCATTCAAAGTTAAAAGGTCAGTTTCCAAAAACCCTTCTTAATTATGACCGAGGTGTCTCACTTACGGAACAGTACTGTTAGCCTGGCTTTCCCTGACACACTTATTTAATTTGCATGCTCAGGGATTTAAAGCTACTGGATCAGGACAGCCCCTCTTGGCCAACACTTCCTTCTAGATTCTGAGGACGGCCAAAGAAGGTGCCTCATAGAGCACTGTCTGGAAGGCCCAGCTGGAGAGTAGGTTGCCCCCAGGGAGTGCCTCCAGCCCCGCCCCCACCAGCTGCCTTGGCTCCCTCCACCTGGTTCAAAATCCAGCTAAGTCCTGTGACTCCAACCTCAAAATGCCCTAGCATTTTAGTTTAGGGTGTTGACTCTAGGGCTTAAAAACCGGTTTCACAGCCCAGTGTGGGAGGCTGAGGAAAAAACGCATGGCAGTTCTTCCTGGTGCCACTTCATGCCTCTGTACATGGAATACAGGCAGCTCCAGGGACTGCTTTCAATTCATCTAGCTCTCTACCCAAGCCAAATTGGAGATAACAGGAATGAAGATGAAGGAACCATGGCTGTTATCTCCAGTTGGAGGATACTTCTTGGGGTCCCCTTTCTAAGGCACTCTGCTTCCATGTTCACGGAGACAGAGTGGAGGGTGAGGGAAATGCATACCCACTCTGGGCCAATGTGATGCTCCTCCTTCCAGGAAACTCAGCAGCACTAGGAGCTGGGTTGTCCTCACAGGGTAGGCAGAACTGTCTTCTCTAACTCCAGGGCCATGTGCCAGCCCAGGACTGGAAGCGGAGACAGCCTGTGTTCTCCAGAAGGAACACCTAGTGTGCTCGGAGGTGCAGAAGTACAGGAGAGGATTTGGAAGGCCTTCCTGATCTTTTCTGTCCCTTCCCAGGCCTGGGTGACCTGGACTTCTGGACTTCCCAGGCCCTGTCCTGTCATGACAAATTTTCTCTTTGCCTAGGCAAGCTGGAGTTGGCATCTGTTATTTGCAATCAAGTAGTCTTGGCTAATGCACCCGCTTCCCACCTGCCACAATTCCAACCCCTGTCTGGGACCTCTGTGCAGACTGGGTGAGATGGCTGCTAACAGAGCAGATATTCATGACAGTAATCTCTATTGACTAGGATTCTGATGCCAACAGAGGAAAAAATAGGGTGTGAGGAGCCTCTCAAGAAACGTAGCTCTGGGTGTCTCCCATCTCAGGGTGTCTCCCATTCATATGTGAAATAGTAGAGATGGGAGACACTTAATGCCATGTGTCCCTAGCATCTTCTTGGGACATGCCTCAATAATTAGGCTCCTGTCTCCCTCTACACCAGGCCACACACCCCCTTTTTTGGTGGGGGGACAGGGTCTTGCTCTGTCACCTAGGCTGAAGTGCAATGGTGGCAAAATCTCGGCTCACCTCCGCCTCCCAGGATCAAGCAATCCTTGCACTTTAGCTTCCAGAGTAGCTGGGACTATGGCCATGCACCACCATGCCTGGCTAATTTTTGTATTTTTTGTAGAGATGAGGTTTTGCCATGTGGCCTAGGCTGGTCTTGAACTTCTGGACTCAAGAGATTTGCCAGCCTTGGCCTCCCAAAGTGCTGGGATTGCAGACATGAGCCAACTACACCCAGCCTAGACACCTTTTGAAGGCAGACACTGAGTCTCACCCTTGTCCAGAGAAGACAGTCAGTCAACATTTGTCAGGTTAAACTGGATTCAGTCCTCATGGTTACTAAGCATCCTTATTTTCCTACTTCAGAGAACAGAGGAAAGATGGCCACTTAGCCTGTCAACAGACTGAAGTGGCAGTGATAAAGGGGGGTGCTGGAAGCCTGACCCAGGTGAGGATGCTCCCTAGGGGAGATGGAAGGCTGACCCAGGTGAGGATGCTCGCTAGGGGAGATGTAGCAGCCCTCGTGAGGTCTGGCCACTCTTGGAGTCCTTAACCTGAAGCCTGGAATCAGCAGAGAGAGTTGGGCAGACTGCCCTCCCCTAAAGCTGCCTTTTTAGAAAGCAGTGATGCAGCGGTGTGGGCACACTCTGAGGGCTACACAGGAGCTAGCTGGTTAATGGCCAAGTGGCCAGCTCACGGGAAGCCTTCTTTTCCTGCCTGTGGCTACAAGATTAGGGCTTAGAAGACGCAGAGGAAGGTCTAATGAGGAAAAAAAAACGAAAGAGATCAGTTCAGATCTCCTTCATTTCTTTGGACTGTATGCAAAACCCCAGACTAAAACCAGACACAAACACAAACCATATCCTATTCATTTCTGTATCCCTCAAAGTTTTGGCAAAGCTTTGAATCATCAAATTTCATATCAATAAACCATTGCTGATTTAAACGATGGGCTCTGGGATGCCTTTGGATAGAAGGGAGCTTTGGTCAGCTCCTGCTGATGCCCCAGACCAGACTTCCTACTCCCAGTGACAGGGTTCCTAGGGAGTTGCTGTCCACACAGAGTCTGGCAACAGCCCAGCTACCAGACTCCGATGCCTTCAAAGAACACAACACCTCCAGCTTCTCCTGCCACCACTCCCATCCCCAGCCCCATCAGCTCATTTCTTCAGTGGAAAGAAAAACCTTCAGTGGAAAGAGAGTATTTTTAGATGATTGCTGGGGCATGGGGAGGGAGGCTGGGGAAGCATGGCCACACTGAGGTGACTCTGCCAGGATGACACCATTTCTGCTCCTGAAAACAATTTCAAGAGAAAGTCTCAGGGATGATGTAGAGCAGGAGCATCCTTTTTGTCTTCTCAGCAAATGGGGTTTAATGTGAACAAACAAAAGGAACAGAAGCCAAAAGACCGGCCAAGGCACAAGGTGAAAATGTAGGGGTGAAGCTGAAAGCTGCCAGAAGCAAGGCCTTTGTTACCCCTACAGGTACGAGTGAGTGTCAGCAAGCTACTAACCAGGCTGTGCCACTCTCAATGTGTCTTTCCTCCATCCTCCCAGGGAGCCCGGCTCCATCCAGAAAGGCAGATCCTGTGGTGGGGGTAAGCCGACTGAGCCCTCGCACCTGGTGGGAAAAAGTCCCAGAACCACACGGCTGTGTCTGCCTTTTGGAGGGTTGAGGGGGATGGGGTGGCTACGGATGGCTGGAGGGCAGCCAGAAGACAGAAAGCCCCATGCAGGAAGAGAAGGAGTGCAGTGGGGGAAGAGAGGTAGGCATCAGCCGGATTCTCTTTGCAGTTGGCCAGGGTGCTAGTGATGTCAAACGTGCCACTGCGTAGGCCGACCATGCCTGCGATTAGCACTCTAAAAGGGAATCGGAGAGAAGGTAGGCTGGGGCAGGCAGATGAGCACGGACAAGCTCTATCACCTGGTTCCCTATAGGCACAGGGGACTTTGGAAAAGCTAGTGTGGAGCCTGACCTCCCCTTTCCCCTCAGCCTGGCTGCAGCTCTGCTTCTACCATCCTCAGGGCAACCAAAGGGGCAGTGGGCTCTGGCCAGCAGCTGGTAATCAGCCACAGGTTCTACCTGCCAGGAGCCCCAACCACGCCTCATAGGCAGGAGGGATTAGGGGTGCATATCTGCGAGGCTCCTTTACCTCGAAAGCTTTTCAAGCGCTAACACATTCAATCTACTTTTCCAGAATGGAAAGGTTAAGGCTGAACCCCACTCCACCCCCGAGCCACAAGCAGACAAAAGCCAGTTTAAGTCCTTCCCAGCTGGGCCCTTGTCCTCTGTCATCTGCAAATCTTCATTTCCCCAGTTAAACTGCCGGCTTCCTAAGGGTAGCGTCAGGACCGACCCTGCCCCATTTCTCTGAAGAGGACCAAGAAGCATCCTGATACCACGATGGTGACGAGGAGTCTGTTACTGCTCTGGCACGCCACACTTAGCTGAGCCTCCTCTCAGCCTACCGGCATTAATATGAGAGCTGCTACCTTCTCACAGGTTGGAAAGGCAGCCAGTGACTTGTCTCCTCCAACACCATTCTTGTCTCACGGTAAGAGCAGCACTTTCTCTCCCAGGGGAATCATCAGACTCTCTGGGGAAGCTTTAAGGTTTTTCTAAAGTATATTCACCATGCAAATAAAAGTACTTTCTTTCTCAAAGGGGTTAAAAAAGGTTGACCCAATGCAATACTACTCCATGCTCTAATGAGAAGACTGAAAACAGCGTGTGTGAGTGAGGACAAGAAGCAGCTAACCCTCTTGCGTACTGGTGGGCAAGAACACTGAAGAGCCCAGGGGAACCTACTCCCCACCACGCAGCAACCACACATCTCGGTAAGAGGTGGATACGTGTGAGATGGCTAATATTTGACCATTTTTGACCAACAAAGACGGCACTTTCATATATTCAACTTAACATCTTCCTAACAAAGAGGAATAAATGTACTCAACAAAAGTCAAGTCAAAAATGATGCTCATAGCAGCATTTTCATAGTAGCCCCAAACTGCAAACACCAAGTGCCCATCAACAGTGGGAGGGATAAATAAATGGCAGTGTGTTCACACAGCAGGACTTGGCACAGCAATGGCAACAAAAGACCTAGACTCACAGGCAACAACGTGTGTGACCCTCACAAACACAGCAGAGGCAACAGAGCACGATGGATGAAGTTCAGGAACAGAAAAGACTGGTCTATGCTGCGAGAGGTCAGGCAAGTGGCCCTCTGGAAGGTGGGAGGTCTGGGGTATGGTCATATTCTGTTTCCAGATGCAGGGGCTGCTTACACGTTCAGTTTGTGAAAATTTATCAAGTTATACACACTTTTATGTGTGATTTCCTGTATATATACTATGATTCAATAAAAGTTTTTAAAAAAGAAGGGGTAGGGATCCTGTTTATTCTTTAGGTTCACCCTGTTACAGAAGCCAAGCCACCCACAGCTGAATGCTGCCTGCTGTCCTCTGCTGGGCAGCCGTTACCAAAAGTGAGAGCTCTTCCCGAACACTGCAAATCTGGAGAGAAAGAACGCTCTCCAGCTGGGGTAGCAACCCCCATCTAGGAGTAGTACCCTTACCTGAAGCCCATGCTTTTCACAGCTGGACCAGGAAACTGTGCCCACCCAGGCGGACGCTTGTGAGGCATCTCAAGGCCCTGTTCTGCTCAGGTCCCCGTGGCCAGCACACACTGCTACTGCCAGGCCAGCAACGGGAGGCCTCAGAACATGGTGCTGGCCACTTCACAGCATGGGCTGATCTCATGGGCTCAGGGCTGAGAGAAGACAGGCAAGAACCCCAAGTTCCATTTTACAGATGGGGTAATAGACACCCACAGAAATTACTACACCTGTCTGAGGTTAGCAGCAGGCTGGCTAAAAGCTGGGAGGAGCTGGAATGTGTGGAGGGGTGATCCTGATAGGAAATTTTGGAGGTGAGGGCAGGGTGGGCAGGGATGGGTATCCTCAGGGTAGAGGCGTGAGCCACAACCAGTGAAGAAGGCTCTATCTGCCCTTAGGCACGGTCCCTACAGTCAGCAGGGCCAGTACAGAACACGCCCCTTGTGATAACTGTGCTTGCCATGGGGTGGACTGGCCACCCTGCTGGGCACAGACAGGCCTTGGTGTCAGAAAGCTCTCCCACAGGACATGCTTTGTGAGAAGCGGCCACCATTTGCTTTCCTAACATGAATTCCTGGGGGTGTTGAGGTAGGGGAATGCAGCCCCAAAAGGAAGGGCTATGGTAGGGTGGGTGTAGGGAGAAGGCAAAGTACATGTACGTGTGTGTGTGTGTGTGTGTGTGTGTGTGTGTGTGTGTGTGTGTGAGAGAGAGAGAGAGAGAGGGAGAGAAAGAGAGAGACAGAGAGAGAGAGAGAGAAGGAGAGAGAGAGAGAGAGACACAGATGTTGGGTGGGCAGAACAGGGGCCAGAGATAGCCCTAGGGGAAGCATGGGAGGGCCTCCCAGAGTTCCTCAGAATTAGCTACATTCACTCATTCATTATAAAGAAATACTGATCATCCACTCTACACATTCCACTGCTGTAGACCCTGGGAACACCATGTCCCTGGAGTCTTAGGGAACGAAGAGTGAGGCAGACAAAAGAAATGTTAGCAAAGCCAGTCTTGAAAACCACAAAAAAGAATGATGTGAGACAGATAGTATGTGTGCTTAAAACCAGTCAGAGGCCTCCGAGGCACATGTGAATGAGGAGGAGGAGTGGCTGCTTTGAAAGCTGGGGAAGGACCTTTCGGGCAGAGGGAATTGAGCACAGGGAATGCAAAGAGGCTCCTCTCCAGCTGCACACCCTCCCCATCTGAGAGCCCGGCCTGCCCCGGCACACCACCTCCTGCATTCTTAGCTGCCTCCCTCTGTCTGGCTGCCTTCCTTTGCCCTTGCTGGACCCCCATGCCCAGCCCTGAGTTGGTCTCTCTTCTTGGCTCCTGAGGCCCTTGTCTTGCCTCTGCCACAGCATTAATCACCCATGCTGGATGTGCCTGTTGACTTACGTACCTTCTGCCCTGCCACCAAGTGCTCTGTCTGAAACCCAGGTCTCCATACACCCCAGCTCAGAGCCCTTCGGTGGCTTCCCACTGCCTACAGGACCACAGCATGCATGCCTACAGCTCCTCAGCATGCATGGCCACCGGCCTCTGGGCATCCTTCTGGCCCCATCTCCTGCCTGCTCTCCCACCCCAAGCCCTGCCCCAGCATTCTTCATTACAACCCTTTCCCCACATAATGGTCTTTATAACATGTCCACAAATTCCTTGCTCCTCCTCTCTTCAAGAGGTGAAGTTTATTTCCCTTACTCTTGAGGCTAGGGCTGGTGACTCCCTTCTAACATATAGAATATAACAGAAAAGATGGTATGTGACTTCCAAGACTAGGTCATCGAGACCAGTGTTGATGTCCACATGGTGGTAAACTCAGGTCTCTTGCCAATAGTCAGCAAGGAACTGAGGCTTCCTCCCACCAGTCACGTGGGTGCACCATGTTGGAAGTGGAGCCTCCAGCGGTAGTCGAGCCTTCAGACGATACCACCTCACGAGAGACTCCAAGCTAGAACTGCCCAGCTAGCTGCTCCTGGATTCCTGGCCCACAGAAACTATGAGATAATGAACATTTGCTGTTTTAAGCTGCTGTGTTTTGAGGTAATTCGTAACACAGTGAGTGATAACAAATACAACCCAAATATGCCAACTGTTCTCTGATACGTGTGGGCCTTTGAATATGCTATTCTCCCTGCCTGTGATGTCTCTCACGTTGACTTTTCCACTAAGCTCCCCATTATTCTTCAGGGTCCAACAGAAATGTCCTCTCTTCAGCGAAACATCCCTTAATGCCATCCCTAGCCCCCCACCTTCCTCTGCCTGCCCCAGAGTTGGCCCCTGCCCTGCGAGCTCACCAAGCCCACACACAGCTCTGACATGGTTCTTCCTATTCCATGTTTCCTCAGAGGCCTGTTGAGACCACCCTACCTGCCTTTGCAGGCAGCAGAAGGCCAGCATCCAGAAAGCTTCAACAAGGCTCTGTCAACTGGCTGGAGAGCCACCAATTAGAATTTCATTCCAGTGGGATGAGTATTTTTTTTAAAGTATTTTGCATTAAATATTTAAAAGTAGAAGCTTCCATTTTTTTCCTCCAAATGGTGGAAGAGCATGAGGACTCATCAATAAGAGACTTCATCTTACTCTATCCCAGTAAATTGGGCAAGGGATCCGACCTACCTGGATCAGAGCAAGCACTTTGTCCTGTACAATGGTGGGAGGGTTGTTCTTGGGAGAGATAATTTTGACCAGAACACTGTCGATGAAATCTCGGTTGGCCACAAGGATGTGGAAGCGGTGGCCACAGTTCTTCACACATGTCTCCAGCACCTGGTGTGGGGAAGGAAGGAGAGGGGTCACCCCAGTGGGAGCTGGAAAAGACACTGGGAACTGAGGAGGGCAGCTGAGTTTCCACCAGCCGCTCTGTCTTGCTCCTAGATCAGCTTTCTGACATGTCTCTTCCAGAGCCAAACCTGCATGGCACACGCATTCCCATACTCCATTCTCCAGGGATGACAGCAGCCCCTTACTGACTGAAGTCTCCTGTCCCTGCACAATAATCAGGCAATTAGTTGGTAATTGAGGCACCAGTTTTGCATGATAAGGATGCTAGTGTTTTAATGGGATCAAAATGACTGAGCCGTCCCTGAAAATTAGCATTTTAACTCCTCTCTCTGGGCCTCTGGGTATGAGGCATTAGCCAATGGGACACGGGCTCTGTCACAAGAGGAGGCTGCTATGACAGCTTGAATTGCTTAGTGAGTTACTGGCCCTTATATGTGAGAAAGCAAATGCATACACACATCCCCCACTCAACCTTGCTTCTGCAACCAAAATTGGGAATGACAAAAGATTTTCCACTCTTGACAAACGTTTTGTGGACCTCAGCTGCCAGGTGACTTTAAGGTCCATGTTTGATTCAGACTCTGGCTGCTCCCACCTTGTCTGGGAAAACGAATGCCACAGGCCTTAGCTGCTCAGAAAAGCCCAGCATGCTGGTTCTGGCCAGAGGGTCAGTGAGGGCTCACATCTCAGCTCCACCACTTTCTCCGTGAATGGCCCAGGACATCTTTCTGAGCCTCAGCATCCACGTCTGTGAAGAGGAGATGATGAGCTCTCCTTTGCAAGATTGTTGGAAAGATTAGCAAGAATACATTTAAAGCATAGGCTGGGCATGGTGGCTCATGCCTGTAATCCCAGCACTTTGGGAGACTGAGGCAGGCAGGTCACCTGAGGTCAGGCGTATAAGACCAGCCTGACCAGCCTGGCAAAACCCCGCCTCTACTAAAAATACAAAAACTAGCCAGGCTTGGTGGCATGCACCTATAGTCTGAGCTATTCTGGAGGCTGAGGCAGGAGAGTTGCTTGAACCTGGGAGACAGGGGTTGCAGTGGGCTGAGATTGCGCGTTGCAGTGAGCTGAGATTGCGCCACGGCACTAGCCCAGGTAACAGAACAGAACTCTGTCTTAAAAACATACGTACAGGCCGGGCGCGGTGGCTCAAGCCTGTAATCCCAGCACTTTGGGAGGCCGAGGCGGGTGGATCACAAGGTCAAGAGATCGAGACCATCCTGGTCAACATGGTGAAAACCCCGTCTC